ATACATACTTTCAATGGAGTTTTTAATCTTTTGGGATGTTGTTTGCACTTATTTTATGGATTTTATTTGTTTCCTATTTGAGCACTTTTTATTTCCATCATTTTTCTAAGCTCAAATACTTGTTTATTTGTTTCTTCTCTTATATGTTTGATTTTAAGCAACATTTCTTTTTGTATCTGAAGGATTATTTTCTCTGTAGCCTTTTCCACTTTTTTTTTTTTACTTCTTTTGCTATCATTTCAGAAATGCCCAGTGTTTATCTTCCAGTTTTACTTATCTCATTGCTTTCTGGTCTTGTGCTAAGAGGACTGGGCATCAGGACTTTCTTTTTGCTTCTGCATCTTGTCATTTTCTATTTTCACTTCTTAATTTTATTTGTTTTCCATGTTGATGACTGGTTATTTCCTATGATAAATAACTTTACCAGTAGTGGCGAGACTTCCCTCAGACATGACTATTCTTCACAGGTATCCTCTAAATGTAGGTTATTCTCTATAGCTATCCCCAAAAAGTGTATCTTCCAAATCTGTAAAGGATGCAAAATTACTATTTGGCTTAGCACTCAATCCTTTGGTGACATAGCACTTGATCATTTGGTGACTTTGGTGACGATTATGACCTCGTAAAATCACAACTTTGTCACAGCTTTATCATACAGGGAAGAAAATCTGATTATAATATGCATGACATCCTGGCTAAAGTAGTACAGTTAGTAATAACAATAGTTTCAAGTACAGCTTAACTGCTGAAAAACTATGCTAAACATTAACCTGATATCTCCAACAAAAGAAGAAAGCTCTAAAGTCATATAACAAAATCAAATATATGGTATGTACTTGTATTCTATGATTTTCCCTTCAGTGGATTGATTTTTACCCTTGCAGGGAGCAGGGGTGAGTTTTAAGAAGAGAAGAGGACAGGATAAAGTGATTAATGAGGTCAAACATTGTAGAGTCAAGGCTGGAGGTCAAAGGATGGTCACCCAAGTTTTGGGACACTGGAGGACACAGAAGGGAAATGATGAAATAAAATGGGAAGGAGTAATCAGAAAGGAAGAAGACAAAGTTTACTCCCTTGACAGTTTAAATTCAAGAAAGAGTTGAGGAAAGAGAGGAAGCATATCCATAGTAGAAAACAAAAAAGAAAGATAATAAACAATAAACTGAACAGTGAAAAAAAAGAAAGAATAAAGAGAAGAGCAATCAAAAGAGAAGGAAAGAAAAATGAAAAAGAAAGTGAAGAACAACAGAAAAAGAGAATACAGGGATCTAAAAACAAAATACAAAACCAAACAAGATGACATCCAATCAGATAGGAAAGGGTTAGCCAATCACATGAACAAGGGAGAATAAAAATAGTAAAATACCTCTGGTATTTACAGTTCTGTGGTAGCATCCATGTCAGATCCCAGGAATGTACAGAATATGAAGCTTATCTTTGTCTCTGGATCTGGGACCCGGGACAGCTCATCTGTTGGTGGAGTTCTCCAGTGCCAGACTGCTGGCTCCTGATATCAGACACTTGCACAGTGCTGGTCTCACCAGTTACTCTGCCATCCAAAGGTCTGTGTGCACCCACATGTCTGGTGTCAAGTTGTTCTGGGTCTCCACTATGTGTCAGTCTATGTGCCAAAGAATCATGGGTGCCCATGTGCCTAGGTCCCATTGTCCTGGGTTTCCATTGGTCCATGCATCAAAGGCTGTGTCTGTGATGTTTCTTCCTTTGAGCCAACAGACCATGGACTGAAATAAGCCAAAATAAACCTTTCCTCCTTTGAATTGCAGGTGCCAGGTATTTTGTCCTAGTAAAGAGGAAATTTACCAAGAAATTGTCCAAAAACAAATAGCTATCATGTGTCAGTTCAGGAACATACACTTCTCTGTTTCATAGTAAAAGACTTTCTGTCCTAACATATTGTTCCTGAGTGTTCCTTAGTAAAAGGAAGGGTACATAGTATGCAAGATGCCCTGAGTTCAATCCTCTGGTACAAGATAATAACAGAGTAATAACACTGACACTGAAACAAGGATGCATCAGCTGGTCACACAGCTATCCAACAGTATCTGTGAAATCCTGAAAACACTACTCTGTGCATAGAAATGGTTCCCTTAATAAATTTTGTAAAACAGTGTTCTATTCTGTTAATCACCACTCATCTTGGTCCTTGTTAACTTTTTCCTTTCTTTAAAATGTGACAAATTCAGCCTAAAGAAAGAGACAATTCCTCTCTAACATGGTACTTAAAAACTGAAAGAAAAAAAAATGTATTAGAGAAAGGATCAAATGCAGTTTAAGTGCTTCAAATTCTGCTCATTTGGTGTCCTTTTCCCATGCGCATGGAGCCTTACCTAAGCCCCTGAGAAACTGCAGAAGTGCTTGTCATATTTGCACTAACAGTTGTTCATTTTGACATTTTCATCCAAACACCTTAGTCACAAGTAATTGGATTTCCTCGTTGCAGAAGAACTGGCCTTTTTATGATAATGAAGCTAAGTACAGGGGCTCATTTGACATCAAAAGTGCTTTGAAAATATATTATGAAGAGGGGCTTACAAGACTGCATTCAGAAAACAGGCTTTAATTTTCAAGACATATACTGAGATGTCCAGAACAGAACAGGTGTTTGTAGGTTAAGTCTTAAACATCCCTACATTAACTGATACTCAGGTGTATTTTGAAAGATGAATTTCATTTTATATTTCAGAATTACTCCACATCCTCTTTATGTATACACAAGAAAAATAGTTGGTGAACTGCACATATAAATATAATAATAAGAAAACAAACTAGAAACCAAAAGCGAACCCAGAATATGATTACTTTAAAGAAAAGGACTGACCAACAAAGGAAAAATGCAGATGTGTTTACAAAGGTGGAATAATATGTATTATATAATAATTGATATTTTATAATAACTGATTTTTAAATAAATATCTTGCATACATCTGAAATTTTCAAAAAAGAAAGATTTCTTACTGTTTTAGAGGAGACTACTAATTTATTCATATATTCACACATGTTTTTGATTCTCATCTGAAATGAATCTTGGAGCGGTGTAATTTGAGTGAAAATATTCATCAATATTCATTTAATATTTAAGTTAGTCATTGTAAATAAATTTATCACTATGAAAATAATCAATCATCCCTAGATGCTCATTGAGAGATAGAAAAGGTGGTACTTTGAAGGATTTTAAAATACACTATATATTTACATGTGAGTACAAATATCATCTTGGAGCCTACAGAAAAAAAAATTAAAAATGGGAATAATGAAAAAAGAGAGTACAAATTGGAGACCACAAAAAGAAGAAATGATAAACTTATATATTTTCCATATTGTAATTCTATAACATATATTTTTACCATAAAAATACAAGTATTACAATTTCAACATACTTTAATTTTTGTAATTTAAGTAATATTTATATTCATAAAACACTTTTATCTGCCCAGAAAATGTGAAATCCTAAATTCAATTTTCAGTACAAAAGAAGAAAAAAGAAAGATAAAGCACCTTGAAACATACTTTTTCCAAGTATGCATATTTCTAGATTAGAATATTTAGGCCATAAAAATGAAATATTCTCATATGAGTACACACAGGATTCGTTTCAAAATCAAACCTAGAGCTCAGTTATCTTGTGACTTAGTCGAGGTGTCCACTATCCAGTAAGGTGTTGTGTCATTTTTTCACATAAGTATTTATTTAATAACTAAAATGTAAGAAGAACTAAATTGTGCATCCTTTCAAAATTTGTAATTTGACCCTCTGCTTGTGGATATGGCATTTTTAGAAACAAATAAAATTTTTAAACTTGTAGGAGACAAGTAATACTTGCAAATAATTCAGCAAATTCATTCATGCCTACCACCTTTCTTCATGATTATGTGTGCCAGTATTTTTTCTATTGTTTTTAAGAAGCATTTAAGAAGATAATTAGTGGTACATATTAGCATTTATGTATGTATGTACTTATGTATTTATTGTCTCTTTGGGAGAGGGTTTCACTATGCCCCTCAGGCTGACCTTAAACTTGCTTTGTAGCCTAGATGGACTTTGAGTTTATGGAGATCCTTCCACTTCAGCCTCCTGAATGCTGGGATTACAGGAATGTGATACCATGCCCAATTTAATAAACTGAATCTTTTGTGTTTGCATTAATAAGTAATTCTAGTAGTTTATTTTCAGTCCACAATGTGCTGGCTCCAAGGAAGGGCAGCATGGCAAAAGGTCAACCGGTCATCCTGGCCACAAAGGGAAAGGGCAAAAGTACAAAAGGGGAAAGCATGCTTCCTTCTCTCCCTTACACTGTGTGCTGCCCGCTCAACTTTGGGCCAGTTGCAGTGCTAGACGACAATCCAATCACACATATTAGATTCAGGTGCCTCCATGTCTGCATGAGGCTTTGGGGGACACCCAGAAACAAACTATAACAATTTTCTTTACATTTAAAAAAATCTTCTTGTGATTGTTTTAATAAATTATATCTCTCAAGAAATTCATCCATGTCTTTTAATTAGTTAAAAGAACCTATATAAAATAATTGACACTATTTTAACACACTTTTATTACTCATATTTGTTGTAATGATCTCCTCATTCTAAACTCTTATGATTAAAATTCTCTCCTTTTGTTTGATAATTTTACTGAGATTTTCCAAGAACTGTTAATTTGTTAATTTTTATCCTTTTCTTTTTTATTGATTTATTCCCTTATTTAAATTTTTTATTTTCTTTTAGCTATGTGGATTTTCTTATTTATTTTATTTTTATTTCTTGTAGTTTCACAGATTACTAATTTTACATACATCTTCCATTGTAACATTTCTTTGGTCACTGAGTTTCAATTCAACTTTTTATTTCTCACACAATTTTGATTGGAAGTAATTACAAATGTGCACTTAATTTCCAGATACTTAGAAAATTTCAAATACCATATTCTTATTTAAACTGAAGTTAATTCCTGGGATCAGAGAATATACTTTTATGATTCTGACTCTAGGTTGCACCATTTCTGGAAGTCCTGCAATACCAAGTTCACGTGTGGAGTAAACAGAGCAGTCTCCTATTCCATCTTCCAGCACCAAAACTTCATTTAGTTGGTTGTCCTCGGATAGAGGACATATCAGTTATTGAATTGATAAGAATAGACACTACACTTGATTTTAGCCAAAAGGTCAAACATCAATCGTATGATTTTGATTTGGCCCATGTTTTATGGTCCATCATGGAGATTATTCTTGCAAATATACTATGTGTACTTTAAGAGGGTGAGTATGCTCTGCTGGTTGAATTGTAAATTTTGTTATGTGAAGGAAATTTGTGTCCCTCAGATCTTAAATGTTGTTGATTCCTTCTCATTATTACATCAGTTCATGATAGGGAAAATTACAAACAATTATGATAATTTTGGAGTCCTTTATTTCTCCCTTTAACTCTGCCTCCTTTGCTTTACTTAACCTGATACTTTTACTTACTGCAGAGAAGTATAATAATTATGTATTTCTCACTGTTCCTTTTATCACTCTGACTTTCTCTTCTTTGTGTTTGTAAACACTATTGTTAGTCTCAGTGTTACCTGTATTCAAGTAGATGATGAACATTGTTTTTGCTTACTGTACATGAACATCGATTTGCCTAGTAAGTTTCATTTTGTCTGGTTTTTAGTACATTAAGTACCTCTTTTTAGCAAGTGGTGGTAGTACTGTATTTCCTTTTGTTATTACTTTGTAGAACTATACCTTTTCTTTAGAGTATTTAGCTAATATTTAATAGGTGATAAAAACTAATTATATAGTTGAGTTTTTTTCTACCATTGTCTCATTCTTTTCAACTTTTCACTTTTTTGGTTCTTATGTATTGTCTTTTTTGTATTGGGTTTTTGTAGTTGTTGTGGTGTTGTGTTTTTTTCTACTGCCATTTTAATTGTTTTTTTTTTTTTTTCATTGGATTGTGCTATGCCTGTTTACCCTTTCACAAGATACTTAGAGACAGTATTTTAAGGTTTCACCTAAAATGTTGAAACCTTGACAAGATATAGTATTTTACATCCCCCTAACACTCACTGAAAATTTACTTCATACTTATGATATGTTTTATATCTATATATATATGCAAAATCCACATGGAAAATGTTATATATGCAAAATCCCATTGGAAAATGATTTCTTTAAGTTTTATACATGTTTTAATTGGTTAAAGAGAAAGCACATTATTTACATTTACCTAGCTGTTAATCATGTCTCATAATATTTATTTTAAGAGATGCATGTTACTCTCTGAAAGATTTCCCTTCATGTTCAATAATTTCTTATATAACTTTTTTTCAAAACCAGCCGATAGATAATATATTCTTCAATAGTTCTTTGATAATGTTTTAAATTTTCATCATGGAAGAATGTTCTAGATATAAAAGTCTGGTGTGGCATAGCAATTTTTGATTATTTTTAGACTTAATTTGTTCACTACTCTGTCCTTTGTGTTTTCCAATGAGTATTTACAAGTGTTTAAGTCAGTGTTTCCTGTATACAACATGTCACTTGTTCCATATTCTCTCAAGATTTTGTTCTTATGTTTAATTTTTAGCAGTTCAGTATGATGTATCTAAAATTAGCTGACTTTGTTTATTTTGTTTCAGGTTCATTAAATCTTTTAAAACCTTGGATGTAAATATTTCAGTGAAGTTTGAAAAAAAGAATTTACAATCATTTTTAATTAGTTTTAAACATGGTTATTATCAGTGTATTTCATCTCTATTATTGTGATTATTATGAGGATGAGTATAAAATTTTGAAAATTTCCCACAAGGAACTGAGATCTCTTGTCTTTTTTTTTAACTTCCTTTTTCTCTTTATTTTCTTTTCTTTTTATTCACATTTTATTTCTGTTATTCACAGTGGATATTACCTGTTGATCCATCTTCAGATTGACTCAGTCTTCTATTGTCAATTCTGCTGCTAAATCCATACAGATCACTTTTAAGATGATTAATTTTTTTTCTTCTCAAATGTTTCACTTGGCTTTTTTTTATAGAAATTTTTTTTAAAATTAAGGCCTTCCTCCTATGCAGTGAACATGAATGTGCCCTTTTTAATAAAGCAGTTAGTAAAACCAATTAAAATTCATTTAAAATTTTTATTTTAAAGAGGGTAAAATTGAACACAACTAAAACAGAACAAAACAGAACATAAGAAAGCAATGTAAGAGACATAAATTTCAAAGCAAGACAACCAGAGATCTTCAGTATCTATCATATTGTCTCTTGTTTTCTTCCAAATAATTGGTGTATATCTTCAAATACAGTGAATTCATATAAAAAAAATGAGGCTGGCATATTTATACAATTTTAGCAGACTCATTTCTCCAGCTACAGACACTCTCCAATTATCTCCCACATCCTCCAACTCCATAGCCCTTTTTTTCTTCCCTCTGGCCAGATACATGTACATTGTTTACTAGTTTTAATCAGTACTATTATCTACCCTTTCCCCAAATGAGGCTGACCCTTGGGACAAAATTTGCAGAATAAAAGAGAAATGTAAAAAGAAAATAATTAGAACTGTACTCCCAGAAGGTTATTTGTCCATGTTTTTACTTTTATCTGACCTTCACTTTTTTTTCCTTTACAGAGTACAAAAATATATTTTTTGTCTTTGGTTTCTTTAAAGACATAGTTCTGGATCTTTATGTGGTATTTCGGTATTTTTCAATATAAACATAGATTAAAACCTTAGTTTGTGAGAATAATTCATTCTGATCATAATCCAAAATATTAGTATATCAAAGCACAGAGGGAAACAGTGACAGACAGATCAGTTGCAATCTTGTAACATTTGGCGTGCTGTGTGTACTATACACATTGCTTGCATACCATGATAAAATTTCTTAGAAATATTTACTCATCTTAGAGAACACTTGTAGGCCAAGTTAGTTACAATCCAAAGTTTGACTATAATTTGTAGAAACTCAGCCATCTTAAATTTAAATCTAACAACTACTCATCAAATAACTAATGTTGCAATAATGTAAATTACTTTAGTTGGTGTTGCTGATACAAAAGGACATCTCCAAACCTCAAAGCACTTAATACTTAATGAAACATTTATTATTGTACAGAAATGACAATGCCACTACATGGGAACTACTGTGAGACTTCAATCTGTAAGCCTTTGCATTCCCTTGGAGGCTGGCTTTCTTGGTTCTGCTTAATGCCTCAGCAAAAGTTCAGAGGACATTTTTTATGTCTTTTTTGTTTCTTGTTTTTGTTTATAATTCTAGTAACAAAAGGATAGCTTTTTGTTACATAGCAAAACAAGGAAAGGGTAAATAGCATGAAAGGTGTATGGGTGGGATGTTCATATGGTTACAGAACTGACTGAACAGGAGAGGAAGTGATTGGATAGTAAACAAGACTGAGATTATGCTCAAAAGATTTCAGATTTCATTTTATAAACAGAGATGGATGATACTAGAATTTTAAATATGGAAACTAAAGAAAGATGCATTTTTGAAGCAAAATATATGAGTGCATTTTGTTTTTATTTCCTGAGAATTTAATAAATATTTCATAGGGTCATTCAGGAAATCTTTGCTGGTTTCCTGCTAAATACCAGGTGCTAAGTTAATCTTTATAAATGCATTTCGGTTTATAAACTGACAATACTGATGTATAAAGTGGGTGAATGAAGTAGTGAGTTAATAAAAGGCCTGGTAATGAATATTATAAGGAATAGCTTTTGAATTATCCTACTTATTGACGTTGTATATTTATGAAAACAAAACCCAAGTTTTGACTTTCTTCCTGCTCTGAAATTTAAAGGTTTTTGGAGAGAAAAGAAATTTAAAAGATAAAATATTTCCCCCAGGTATAAATGTATTCAGTAAAAGGCTGAGCATTTCCTATGGAGTAGACAATTACCCGTGGGACAGAATTTTAATTAGACAGCTTTCCGTAAATGTCACCACCATTTGCCTCTTCTATAGACCTTAGCTCATTTCTATATTTAGTCTCAGCATGTGAATGCACGTGTGTGTGTGTATTTGTGTGTGTATAAGATGTATACTTCAGTCAATTTTCAAATACTTGAGAAAAGATGTGAGACATAAAGTAGTTTCTTTTGTCCATTTTTGTTATTAAAACATTTTCAAGTCTTCTAAAAGCAATACTGAGACTAATTAAAATTTAATAAATATCCACAATATATTAAAAGTCAAACTATAATTCAGGGAAGTTATTAAATTAGGACAAACATTCTAAACAGTGAACTCTTTAGTAAATTATGCATGAACATTTCTGAATTGCTTGCTACAATTTGGACAATGCCAGAGATTAAAGTATGTTATGTAATTTAGTTTGCAGTTTCAGGGCATAACAAAGAAAAAAGAAACACAGCTTATATTACTTGCAGCTTATGTGGGTATTTGCCCTGCTTTATAGTTATATTTGAAAATATTTATCTATTCATTATTTGTTTTCTATTTGGTTTGGATTTAATACAATGTACTTCGAAAGAAATCTACTAAAACAGAAGTGAAAATGGAAGTTTCTCTTGGGAATATAACTGATTTCCCACAACTCTTATCTATGTTTCAAGGCTATTTATAGGATTATTTCTATTCTTACATTTATTTTAAAATTATCTCTTTAATATTGAAGACAAGATGCTAGTTGCTGGTAAAACAATTAAAAAACAGTGTGTGTGTGTGTGTGTGTGTGTGTGTGTGTGTGTGTGTGTGTTTTAAGAAGGTAAAATAAGACACAATCAGGAAAATGCTTAATAAAGATGCTTAAGTATTTGACAGTTCTTTGCCAGGTATGGAGCAAAATGTCAGGGACATGGAGATGTAAACTTCCTCTGCTAAAAGGAACAGGGTTGGTGATGGGAATCGTATAGCAGCTTAATAAGCATATTAACGCAGAGGCAGAAGCACAAAGATGCTGATTAAACAGTTTTCACAAGAAAATATGTTTTATATTTCTTCAACCTGACTTACTATTAAGATGTAAGCATCAACCCAATTTTTCAGTCCATCTGCTCTCCAGTGTAGGTGTTCATGCGCCGTTGAATCGCAATTACTCTGATGCACCTTCAGAGTTGAGGTACGTGTTAGTTCCATGTTCTAATTTACCAGATCTTAGCAAATTCTCTACCAGTGATAGAAGTGTGTTTCTCTTACCTGAGACTTGTAT